ATTATTATTGGCTGTTTCAGTTCCATTTACGTCACCACCGTTATGCAAGATTCATATGACATGAATTGCTTTCGAAATGAAGCAGTGAAAGATTACTATTTTTAGATTGGAGAGGAGAAATTCTAAAAATTAAGCATTAAGGTGCTATTGCTAATTTAAATTACATTTTTTATCTTTCCTGCATGCATGTACGCTGCTGGCCACCCTAAATGCAACACTCTGAAGGAAGCATGAAAATAACATGAAATTTACAACATGCATTAGCGGAGGTGAGATATGCAAATGATTAGAATTTCAACGCATACGCACATTACGCGCGCCTGGCGCCATCATGCGCTATTTAGGCTTGATTTTCGACGATTTCAAGTTCGGCAATTGTGTTTTTCTTGTGTTAAAAAAAAAAAAAAAAAAAAGATCAATTGTGCCTCGTAGTAAACAGCGATCATCGTTTAACATCGTTTGATCAAATATCTGAGTTCGACATAGAAAGGATCGTGGGCCTACCGAAGTGGGATTATCTTTCAGGGAATGAGTAGTCATGTTGGACGAAACGAAACAACTGTAATGCGGACATGTGACCTTTGGATGCAGGAGGGTACGACGGACAGACGTGTTCGATCGCATTCACCTCAGTGCACACTCACGTGATGACAGAACATGTGCGCATGGCAGTGACGGATCCCGTAATCACGAACTTAGCACATCACATTCAGTCTGTAACGCATCATCCAGTGTCTGCGCATCCATTCGACGCCGTTTACAGCAGAGGGTCTGTCCGCAAGACGTCCATTGCTTCGTCTACCCTTGACGCAGAACCACAGACGTCTCGGCTACCATGGTGCGATGAGAACGGATGTGGACGCAGAATGGAATGAAATTCTTTACTGACGAGTCACGTTCTGTCTGCAACACCAATGTGGTGTATTCGAGTCTGGAGACACCGTGGAGAGGATGCGGACACTGCGTATGCAGTCCACACTGGTCCTGCACCGGGTATTATGGAAAAGGGCGGTATGGATAATACTACTCTCGCACTCATCTAATACGCATTGCCTTTACTTAAACAGCCTCGCTACATCCCGAGGTGTTGGAGTCAGTTCTTCCTTACCTTCAGGCTTGTCCACAGCATATTCACAGATAATGCCGACTACACATGCACTCATTGTCTAAGGTTCTTTTCATCGCCAGATTGAGTTGCTTCCCTGGCCGGCTCGCTCTCCGGATCTTTCGCCGATAGAAACCTGGGGTACATGGTGCTGAACGATTGACCTAGATTACATCCCAAGCTGCAACACCAGATGAACGTTGGCAACATGTGGAAACTGCTTGGTCTGCTGTATCCCAAAAACGCATCCAAAGTCTCTTTGAATCAATGGCGAGGCGTGTGGCAGCGGTGATCTGCAACAATGGCGGCTACTCTGGCTACTGATTCTAGAAGGAACCACATTTCACAGAAGTCTATAAACTTAAGTATTTGATACTTGGTTAACATGTTATCTACTATATAAATTTTGCTGTGATATCTCTTGTCTTCCTTGGTGTTGCAATTTGGGTGTCCTGCAGTGTATTTAGAGTATACTTTCGTTTTTAATAAAATAGATGTTCCTTAATTTTCAATAAACTGCTGTATTAAAATGTACAAAAACAAACTTTAGATTTTATAACTTTCTTTTAATATTAGTTGAAAGAGCAATGCATGCATAAGTATTTTTGCTGGAAGATGATATGTAGACATGTTTATTTAAATACCTAAAATATATTAATATTATTTGAATAGCATATAACAGGGGTGAGCAAAGTGCGGCTGGCGAGCCTGATACGGCTCTCGAAGGCAATTTGTGCGGGTCGTGCATATAAAATATATGTATGAAATATGGTAAACTAAATCTATTCAGTGTCCAAAAGGAAGTAATTAATTAGTTTAGAATTTTTGACAAAGTTATTATGGTTTTCATTCTATTTAAAATCTCCTCCACTACTTCTATAATGATGTAAATATGAACTTGTGGCTTTTAGAAAATCTAGATTCGTCTTTCGAACATTCCTGAATTCAAATACTCGGCTCTTACTGACATGAAGTTTGGCCAAATCTGAAATATAAGTTAAATTCATTATATTTAAAATTTATTAAAAAATTTGGGCTTGGCTTTTTTGGTTTGGTTTGGTTTAGTTTATTATGGCAGAACGCACTAGGGCTATCTGCCTAAAGGGTGGTGTGCCTTCGTGGAATACTTTCTAAGTGAAACTTCCTAGTATATACACGTTTACAAGAGGAAAACCATAGAAAAGCCCATGTAGCCAGCCCGTTTGCTCGAAAACAAAACCAGGTCAGAAATGCCAGTGTTCAGCGATTTCACTGCCCTTCCGCTGACGAGCTTTAATCTTTTGGAAACAGTGTGTTGGGAAGAAAATGATTTAGCTTTCCAAAAGTTCCGTTAAAAATTCATTTGGAAACATATAGTGCTATCCCATACGGAACAATTGTGTTTACTGATAAGTATTGGTATCAAGATGTACAAATTCATTCTCATTATTTCTGCGATCATTTTAGTGAGTTACGTAATAGAAATATTGATAAGTTTACAATCAAAAACTGATAAATATAATTATACTTAAGAAATAGTATTCCGTCACTAGCAATAGTTGTATCGTCATTAATTTCCAACATCATCTTTGGGGTTTCATACTGGATAGATTTTTAAGCTGTTCGTATAAAAGTTAAATCAGCGATACGGCGATATATTTGAAACAGATAAACTATGGTAGTATGTTTTCTAGACAGGAATAAAGAATATTGTATTAAACGTTTTTTCCTTTCCATTTCAAGTAAGAATCATGAGACCAAGCCTTATAAGAATAACCAACATTGTATTGAATATGCAACAGCAAGTTACAGCATGAAAAATTGCATAGCGTTTCTGTAGTCTCAGATCTCAAGAGCACATAGCTCTTGGGATTTGGAGACAGCCAGAAATGTGAATTTAGTGCTTGATTGTTTATTTTGACTATGGGAAAATGAAGAAAACAAGCTTTTATACGAAGAATCTCCTGAAAAGAATACTTGTTGAAAGGACTCACAGCAGAAGCAATACCGAGAAACAAAGGCCGTAGATGGAAAAGTTTTAGGAGGAAAATCGTATTTATTTCTCTATCTATATATATATATATACGTCCATATATATAATTTGTATATATATATATCTATATATATGTGCGTCTATATATAATATATATATATATATTAATTTATTAACACTTAAGTGTATATAGTGTATATATAGAGAGGCAGCGAGATATTTATATGTATGTATATATATAAATTATGAATACCTTTAAATATATATATATATATACGTGTGTAGTAATTCGCTCCTATAACTCATCCTCCTTTTCCTAAATCCTAAAATTATCAAAGAATTTTCTCTTGCGGAATTAATAATCATATGTAACTTACTATATTTAGAATTTTCCACCGATATTGAAATCTGTGCTAACAATATTCTTACGAATCTTGCTGATGTATCGTTATTAAAATCAGATTCCGCTGACTACAGCGACCTTGAGAAGACGCTTTGGTGCAAAGTTCACCGTCGACGTATAGCGTCGCCCAAACGAACATTAATCACACTCCAGATGAATCTTTACGCAAACAAATGGAAGCAAAAATCTCTCTTGAAAGCGCGCCTGGAAATTTATTGCTTTCACAAACACAGACTGTTCCGTTTCAATGTTTTGGCTTAAAAGTCATTGTTGATTTGATCAAACCCTTTACCTCTCGGGATAATTACAGCGTTGAAACTTTATTTTGACATAGAAGATATTTTTAATCTCTATGAAAATCACGAATCCTGTGCACCAAGTAATTTCTGTTAAAAAATGTCTTACCGGTCCAGCTTTAACTTTAATAAGATCAATTCGTGGAATTACTAATTGGGGACAATTAAAACACCATTTATTAGATGAATTTTCGGAAAAGATTAATAGCCTTCAATTACATAAAATAATGGAATCTCGCCACATGAAAACATCTGAAATCTTACAAGAATATTTTTTAGCTATGAGAGACCTCTCACACAAAGGTTCTATGGATGATTCTTCTTTGATTGATTTTGTTATAAACGGTATTCCTGATTCATCAAACAACAAAATAATTTTGTACGGTTGTAAATCCATTCCTGAATTTAAAGAAAAACTGAAGATTTATGAAAAACTCTTTAACAATCCAAAACATTTGAAGCAAAATACTCCAAAGAAATTTAAAAATTCCTTTCCCAGTGCTAAAATTCATGCTAAACACGCATCAGATACTCAACCAGTATGTTATTCCTGTGGTTTGAAAGGCCACAAAAGCAATACTTGTCCAAATAAATCTAACGGCAAATTCTGTTATGGCTGCCAAAATTATGGTCACGTTCATTCCAACTGTCCCAAACGTTCTGGTAGTTCTACCACGGAATCTGGTAATTGTTCTACATCTGATAGTACTGTAAATGCACTTTCTGCTCAAACGTTTTCTAAACATCCAATGCATGTTGATATTCAGCTTAAAGGAATTCAGTTAACTGCTCTCTATGACACTGAATCACAAGCAACACTTATTACGGAGAAAACATACCGCAAAATTGGTTCTCCATCATTACATCCTTCTAGAATTACATTCTCAGGACTTGGCCGAGACACAGGTCAAAGTATTGGATTCTTTCGGGACTACATTTAAATTAAAAACACTATTTTACCTGCTAAAATCCATGTAGTAAAAGACTATATGATTCCTCTTGATGCCATTATTGGAATAGACTTTTTGCAACAAACTCATTTTACATTTGATAAAGACGGTAGATTTATGCAACAATAATGATGATCAAATTTTGGTTAATGTTGCTAATGTTACTCATGATCACACATTTACGCCTGATCTTACACACATCTCAAAATCGGAAATTCTCCAAGAAGTTCAACATATCATTACTCCTCACGAACCACACGAAGTTAACACCGCTATGGAAGATTTTCAGAAAATAACAGAAAATGAAATTCAGTTGAAGATAACAGTTAAGGAAAATAATAATGATGATGCACATGACGATTCGAAATTGGATTTAGATGATGACAATTTGGATTTGGATGATCACGATGACAAAGATGATGCTGATACCAATCATGGAGCTCATGACGATGATGTTGATGCAGATGGTGATGACTCAGACGACGACATGGATCAAGATCATGATATTGATGATGACGACAATCATAACGCTAATGGTGCTGCTGCTGATGATGATGGCACTCATGAAGCTAATGGAAGATGATGATAATGATGTTAATCAAGATGACGTTGCTGTTGTTGATGAAAATCATGTCAATGAAGATGATGTTGATGACAACGAAGATGATGATAATGACAGTCATGAAGCTAATAATGATGATGATGTCGATAATGATCCAAACGAGCCGAATAATGAAGAAATTGCGAAAAATAAACTGAATCCATTTGAACAAGCATGTGCTGATCAAGCAAACGAGAAAACACCTTCTAAAAGTGCAGAAACTGCCAAAGAACCGAAAAATAATCTAAGGAAACAACTTGTCTCTGACATTCCAGTTGAAGCTTTCCAGGCAAAAAAGAATGCTGAAATATATTTGGAAGAAAAATTACTGTTTCATACACTTTAGCTGCTTCACGCCCAAAGAAACGCAAGAAGAAAGCCTGGAAGTATAAACGAAGAAAATTTAAACGAACTTCAAAGACAATGAAATTGCTGACACAGCATGATGATGAAAACGCTGCATTATGCACTGAAGCTCAACGGAACCTCCTCCGTTTACAGCAAACGTACATACACGGCAGTATAAGAAACGTCGCAAACCTGCCTGCAAATACAACTTGGACACAAATGACAATCCAGCCTGAACTGAAACTTCCACTTGGACTGAATCTTCGACTCGAACTGAAACTTGGACTTAAACTTCGTCCCAAATTCTTCGGTCTTTATGAGACAGTTCATCCCTCTGATTATTACGAAGTACGAAAGATACGCATTGACGACACCATTATGATGTCAACGCCATTAAGATGAACTGGTGGTGCACAAAGCTAACATTCGACACTTGGACATTGATTTCTTTTTTTTTTTCATTTTCTCTGCTTTTTTTTTTTTTTTTTTTCCCCTTTCTTTTCAGATCAACCCCCAGGCGAGGACGGCCGGCAAAGCAGGATGGCCGTGTGGTAATTCGCTCCTATAACTCATCCTCCTTTTCCTAAATCTGGCAACAGCGACAGCAGCGAGATACTTCTTCAAGCTGTGTGAGACTTTCATTCCGATGACGTTAGAACACGGTGATAGATGCAGCTGAACTATGCCGCTCGAAAGATGTAATTCCGTTTCATGACGAATCAAACTTTTTATCTTACTTCCTTTCACTCTGTACATACCATAATCATGTTTATTCTTTCATCATTAAATACCTTCAAAATGTCACTGCCTTCCTCTGTTTTAATCCTAACCTGATCCCACACACATATATATGTCATAATAAAGGCAAAGGAAATAACGGAACACTGTAGATGCGTGCTTAGATCCATATTGAAGAAGAATTTTGATTGCGTAGTATTTAAAGAACTTGGCAGTCGAGGCGATTTTAATTCCATTTTTATTTCCAATTGACATATGGGGCCACAGATCACTTGGCACTCTAGTCGTGCCTTTCCACAGAAGATTTACATGTTAGATATTGTTGAGATAGAAAGCAAGCCAGCGAAATTACATCTTAGCAAAGTAGAGAGCAAAAGCTGAAGTGCGTAGTTATGAAAGATGGAAGCACGCGAAGAGAAAAGTTTTGGTTTACAATTCGGTGATTGGTCATCAAGAGGCATCTGGTATTAACGGTTACGTAGATCGCATGATTAATTGAATGACGCAATGCAGATAAGTTATTACGATTTTAGAATAGAGAGGAAGAATTAATGTTTTTAGTTATCTGATTCATATAATTTTATTCTTACATATTCCCCCCTTCAAAAAGAAAAAGGTGTAGTGACAGAGAACCTTTTGAAAGAGAAGAGTTAAAGCACTAGCAAATGTAAAAAAAGAAAAAAATAAATAAACATAAATCAAAATTTTTGTCCTGTAAAGTATAATTTATAAATATCAATTTTTTTAAATAAATTTTTAATTTTTAGAGTCCTATTGAATTTTTCAGCATTTCAGTCCAAAAGTCTTTTTGTTTGAGAATTCACATAATCATAATTCTTCAGGGAAGGTTCTTGTTATTACAGAATATCACAAAATAAACTTTTACACAATCATTACTTATAATTAAATGTAATGCACATAAATATTTATGATACTTATTTCTATACTGATAAATTATATTTTAACAGCATATAATAATAGGAGTAAGCTTCAGAAAATATGGTTTCACCGTTATTATCTTTCATTTGCAATTCCTGATTTTACCAAACTGGAAGCCTCGCAATACTTCTAAACAAACATATCCATGAATAGGGCTGTCCACTTGAGCTAACCAGTGTGTTCTCTGCACTGGTGGCCCAGGGTGCCTACACAGTTACTTGAAAAGGCCTCCGTTCCTTGCATTAAGGTAACTGGCCTTTGAGAACTGCATTAATACATTCCATAATAAAAACGTATAATAATAATATAAAAAAATTACATGCATTCATAAAATGAGAGCCTCCAACATTATCTTGCATGAAGAGGGTAAAAGGAACAACTGTACAGAGGTAATTACAGGCCTCTGTTGAAGGAACCAGTACACCCTCATCATACTATACTTAACACACAATAACCCATAAATTTTAACATGCATTTACCATAATTTCATATTACTTATCTGTACTAATTTCACTTATTTTGAACATCTTTATTTTTAGAATAATTATAAAATTAGTATTCAAATTCTCAACAAAATTCAAAAACATAAAAACTATCTTAATACCTTCCCTGAATTTAAATAGCTTAAAATTAATTACTTAATTTGCTTACACATAATTATGAAAAATTAGAAAAGTTAATGAACAAGAATTTCAGATTTTCTGAAAACAAATTGCAGAAATTTTACCCAATGTTGAAATGAAAACTATAGAATTCGCAGCACATTAAATAACTTAGTTCCTGAGCTGGATTCACACGAATGTAATAATTTTTGAGCTGTTGCAAAAGCGGAAGTGCAAATAATTTTCTGTCGCACATACTTGCAAACACTAACTCAGATCGACCTTGAACCCGCTGTAATGCTTAATTCCTAAACGGTAATTCACTGATGATTCTTTTTTCACTAGGCATTCGAACTTCTCATTTATTGAGAGATTACTTTCAATCTGTAACCACTACGCGTGATTATTTTTTGAAGCACTTGCAAAGCACCACAGCAGAAGAATGATGTGTTATTTTTTTTAAACACTGAAAAAACACACTTGATGATTCAACTTCTTTCACATTATCTTGGATTTATCACAAAACGATGATTTGAAGAGCTGAATTAAATTTTCCATTGAGGTTTCAGGCTGCAGGAAACTATCCTTACCGGCTTAATTGTCATAATAAAAGCAAAGGAAATAACGGAACACTGTAGATGCGTGCTTAGATCCATATTGAAGAAGAATTTTGATTGCGTAGTATTTAAAGAACTTGGCAGTCGAGGCGATTTTAATTCCATTTTTATTTCCAATTGACATATGGGGCCACAGATGACTTGGCACTCTACTCGTGCCTTTCCACAGAAGATTTGCATTTTAGATATTGTTGAGATAGAAAGCAAGACAGCGAAATTACATCTTAGCAAAGTAGAGAGCAAAAGCTGAAGTGCGTAGTTATGAAAGATGGAAGCACGCGAAGAGAAAAGTTTTGGTTTACAATTCGGTGATTGGTCATCAAGAGGCATCTGGTATTAACGGTTACGTAAGATCGCATAATTAATTTGAATGACGCAATGCAGATAAGTTATTACGATTTTAGAATAGAGAGGAAGAATTAATGTTTTTAGTTATTCTGATTCATATAATTTTATCTTATATATATATATATATGTAAGATAAAAATATGAAAACGAACTTCTAAATTTAATTTGCTGTACCCTCTTTTATTTTTTTATTTAATTTGGGAACTTCATTTCTCTGTCTAAAAATAGCGCTATTAATCTAAAAATCTAATTAATCTAAACATACTGCTACCATTCAAATTAATCATGTGATCTTACGTAATCCTGAATGCAGATATCTCTTGCCCAATCAAAATAATTGTAAACCAAAACCTTTGACTCCCTCCCTTATTCTTTGCATTACTACTGCGACACTCATCCTTTATTGCTTGTACTTTTCTCGTGGCCAGACGCTTTGCTGCAATCTTCTCTGTGCTGCAATGATATTTTATATCACAATAGTATCAAAATTTTTCTGGAAATAGGCATGATGGGAGTGCCAAGTAAATTGTGGCCACAAATGTGAATTTAAATATGGAATTTAATTACGCTCGACTGTTTCTTCATTAAAATGAATGGACGCTCTAAGCATCAAGTATCTACGCCATGAACATTTCTGCGTTAATATACGTATATATTGTGCTTCTACATCAATATTTCCAAAATTATGCTAATATTACATACACATATGTATATATATATATATTAAAACCTTATATATATATGATATATATATATATATATATAATATATATATATATATATATATATATATACAGTGGAACTTTTACCTGCTTACGATATTGCGTAGATGACCGAGAAGACCGTAGTGGCTTCTTGAAGGTGTCAGAGTAGAAAGCATGATGAGGCAATTTAGTACAACGTATCTTGAAAAATCACAATCTTTATATTTTCCACGCATATCAAATCATCCTTTTTTAGACAAGATGTTTTCTAATTATATTTGAATACATAAATTGTATTTTAAATCAGAAAGTCATCTTAAGTAAGTAAGCAGCGGCAGCATGGTTTAGAAGCGTCTTGCCAGCAGGAGAGCTATGCGGAAAAGGGGCAAGAGTTATAGTACTTTCAGTGGAAGAAGGTTGGGAGTGGGAAAGTTTCAGTTCAGAGTTTTGGTTTACAATTAATTTGATTGGACAAGAGGCATCTGCATTAAAACGCTACGTAAGATAGAAAAATCTGGAACCTGTGAGAAGAGATGGATTTAGGGGCAGATCATTAAATTTAGAATGTTAATTTTGAGGTTGCCAGTTATATTTTTGAAACAGCTATCATATTAACCCCTTGGCGGTCTCAAAATTAACATTCTAGATTCGCTGCGGTCCCCCTACATTCATCTCTTCTCTCGAATTCGAGATTCTTCAACGTTATGTAACGGTACTAACTAGCCAATCATAGAATAGCTGTACATCTACCTCAAGCTTGGTATGAATACCCCTGGCAGCTAATTACGTCACTTCTTCTGCTAGCTTCTGCCCTGCTAATATATCCTCGTTTTGCTTCCCCGTCTAAAATGGCTGCGTCATAATTTTAAGAAACAATGTACATAGAAATTTATCCTACTTCGTTATGATTGAATCATAGAAAGGTCTCGGATTTCATTATGAATGGATAAACATCTATGGGGATGATTTCATATGCGTGAAAATGACTGGAAATTCGTCAAGTTCATGTTTCGCTGTCTTCATCTGTAAGCAATCACCATAATCCACGAG